CTACCTGAAACTACAGCCTTACAGGCAATGCAAAGAACTATATCTGCAAGGAATAATCACAACTTGTCTGCTTATTCCACATCTCTTGGCTTAGAAAGAAGATTGTCCCGACTTACCTCCACTACTTCCTCACCCTACAGCTATTTTGGACCTACGGATGATTAAGAGAGGGAATTGGGCTGAAACTGAAGTCTTTATTAGGTGGGAATGAACTGCAGAAACTAATGCCACCTGGTAAAAGTGGACTAGCTTGATGAACAAGTTTTCCCAGGATAAGGCTAATGCTAGGGGGGGAAGAAATGATGCGGATCCCCGAGGACCCGACCCATTCAGAATGCCACTGTATATATGACATATGTCTAATGGAAAGACAAGTTTATTCTTTTGCAAAAACAAGACTCTAGCTAGCCCCTGTGAGTGGTTTTCACCATCGCTCGAGGGAATCCCAGATAACAAGGGAATACAATGTTCTTCTAGTTTACAATTGCACCAAACTTCTGAAATTTCAGTTTATCTTAGCCAAAATTTTAATGCACAATAAGAAGTTAAAAAATGAGAAATTTTGGCATATATATATATATATATATATAACAATACTCTTCATGTCAGTAGGCCTCTCTTTTGAGCAAAGGTATTTATTTATTTTTTCCTTTTTTTTATATATTTTTTTATTTTTTATTTAAAAAATAATCATTATCATTAATAAAGCTTTACACTATTGATTCCTACATTAATGTATCTGCTTTGGGAACCAAATGTATTTAGAAATTATCTTATTGGAAAAGGAACATTTGCATCAAGATTTTGAATTAGGTTTAGACCTCCAAGCATCTAGAATACAAAATTAAAACGTCAGACCACCCCACACCCAAAAGGCCCTCTAATGAGATGGGGCAATCTATGTATAAAATAAAAAACCAATGAATTGTGGGTAACTTACGCTCTGTACTCCCCATCCATTGTTATTTATTAGGCAAAAAGTAACCCTGTAAAGTCTAAACTGGGATTTGGATGGGCGGCAGGTAACATTAAAAGCCGACTTATTTCAAATGATACTGATAGTGAAGGATACATATGGATGAGATTCATGAGAATCGATTCTCATTGGCCCCTAATCCAACCACTCCTCCATCTTCAGATTTCCAGTACGTGCTGCAACAACATACATTTAAAAGTCTATTAACCTACTACCATATGCCAATTCAAGGACCTTAAATATAAATATCTGTAGCTTATAAATAAATGAATATAAATACAAACATATATAACTATATCTATATCTATATAAATATATTAAGTTGAATATCTATATAAATATATTAAGTTGAAATGTAGCTGAGCTCGACTCAGCACCTCGGTTGCTTGAGAGACCTGCAATCAAAGGTAGTCAAGCTTGAACTTTCGAGCTTTTGACTCTATTATTATTATTATTATTATTATTATTATTATTATTATTATTATTATTATTATTATTATTATTATTATTATCCTATTAATATTAGTTATTTTTAAATAGAATTCAAATGTATTTTAATTTTTATTTTATAACTTACTGATTTTTATTAATTTCTTAATTTTTAATAGTTGCTAGATAAAACTTGCTAAAATTTAATATTTTATTAATTTTACTTATTAGGTTTCAAATTGTAGTTTTTTTGACAATTAACAAAATAATAAGATTTGAATATGAATAGGGATGGCAATGTTCCCCATCTTATTAGGGTACTCAGCATTGGGTCAGGGATGGAGATTGCCTTGGCAAGGGTGAGGATTGATAGTGATACCCAACTGAGGATGGGGGTGAAGATGGGGGACAGGGAGTATACTATGGTCCTTGCCTCAAATCCGCCCCGTGGCCATAGTTTTATAATTAACACGGGTGAGCTTGTCCTTATCCCAAGCCCAAACAAATATTATTATGTTTAGGGTGTGGGCAGGGTTGGGCTACACATCCTATAAAATTGTTAATACACTATCAAAATCTGGCATGAGATCTTTTATGTTTTTAGTTCATTATGCTACACAACAGGGTTAGCTCATCCCCCATAGTGCCTTTGGATTCAATATTAATAATTTTTATTTAAAAATAGTTAAAAACCCAAAAATAATGCATACATAGGTTGTGCTTAGTTTTGCTTCACCCTAATTACTAATTTCACATTGCTCTTAGGGGTACAACTTAGGGGGTTGGGTCAGGTTGAGGATAAACCAAAGCCCAACCTAAAGTCTTAAACCTTGAGTTTAGGCTTAGATTAATTTAATTATACTAAAAATGTTAGTCTATAAATTAATTTAATTATAATATTTAATCATTAATAAAGTAAAATAAATAACATAGAATACTAAAATATAATATGAAAAATAATTATTTATTAAATAATTAACAGTAATTTAGTATTTTTGTTAAAATTTATTATTATAATTAATCTAAATTACTAAATTATTTTTGTAACAAATTACTAAAATTATTAACATAATTATTAGTCTCCATTGTTTTACTTTTCCTTGACAAATCCCATGCATTGCACGAATCCTACTAGTATAACGACAAAATTAGAGGGTTTGACTGTTTGAGTAAGAATAGGAAGCAATATGCAACAAAAATATTAAAACATCTTACGCACAAATGCCCTATCCAAGGTTCAAAGTATCGACACATATCGGCCCGTATCGGATGATACGTATCATTTTGGGACCCCTCCGATATGCCCCTATAGTGGGTGTATCGAGGGTCTAATTGGTTCAGGGGTGGAGGAACCCTAAACCACCCCCCCCCCCCTGAACTGGTTTTGAAAAAAAATAAAAAAAAAGTAAAAAAAAAAGGGTATCAATTCGCCCGATACACCCCTACTAGCATATCGATATTTTGAACCTTGGTGTTATCCAAAAAAAGCACAAATTAGAATATTAAATAAAATTGATGTTTGTTTAGCTCGGTACACTAAACGTGTTAATCTAGATTCCTTTTGATTTGACTATCATCCTGCATGACTTCCGTATGTAACTTTGTACAGTTTACTATTTAACATAGTTCTTTTAGTTATCAAAAAATAAATAATTAATTAATTATTATCCTCTGATTTTCTAGAAATATCAAAGAATTTGGATTTCTAGCTTTGCTCTGCTCCAATCAAATGCCGAAACTTCAGGTGATTTCCAAGATCTCATATCTGAAGCGCCAGGAGCAGCATGAAAGCTAAATACTATAACACTAATAAAAAAAAAAAGGCTTAATTTGATAATTTTGAATGGACTGTCGAACTGCTCATGCTTTTTTGTTATCTCCCCAACAGCCCAACAACCATTTGCTCAGAGCCGTTCAAACTGTGTGGTCCAACCATTTCACGGTTCACACCTCTCTGGCAAGGTTCAAAATATCGATATATCGGTAGGGGCGGGCGAATCGATACTGTTTTTTTTTTTTTTACTTTTTTTTTCTAAAACCAATTCAGGGGGGGCGGTTTAGGATTCCTCCACCTCCTGAACCGATCAGACTCTCAATACACCCACTATAGGGGCGTACCAGAGGAGTCCTGGAGTAATACATATCAGCTGATGCAGGCCAATACGTACCAATACTTTGAACCTTACTCTCTGATCCGCTTTGTAGAGTTGAATCATCTCGCTTAGCAGTATGAAGTATGAACGACCCGCTAATATCCCACCCACTTATCAATATGTTTTTTACTTTGGAGTTGGATGGTCCAAAACGACCCTATCCAATGGGGTCCCGATCCCTCATGGGATTCCTTTTTTTTTATTATTTTAGGAAAATTAAATAAACATCCCCTTCTATTTTCTGAAATGGGCTAAAGCTTCTGCTTCTCAGAAACAGGTTGGAGATTGCTCATCACATATGTTTGTTTGGCACCAATCATCAAAAAACAGTTGATTAGCCACAATCACAAAATGTTACCCTGCCCCTCTTTTAGGTCCGGTTTTCCTAAAACCCACAAATTCATCAAAAACAGTTGATTAGCCAGAGACCAGCCGACTTGGGCAATTGCACAATTGGCCCACTCAACCCGGTCACATATTGCACACTAAAATGTATTGAAGCTTCTGGAGGCCAAACCTCGTGTTTGGTAGCCTTCATTACGTGATTTGTTTAATTTTTATATATATATATATATATATATATATATTTTTTCAGGTAACTTTCTGAGATTTACACATTCCCAAGGCCCCGAAGCCCCACCATTTTTGCCAAAACAACCCCTTTTGCCTCAATTTTCAATTTTTATCTGTACTTATTTATAAATAATTAGAAACTGAATATAAAAAATATAAATTAAACCATATATATATATATATATACACAGATTAGGAAAATATCAATTCACATACATGAAATACACATCAGAGGTATCCTTGGAGGGAGGGGGGAGGGTAAAACACATTGATTTTTGGGAGAAAAGAGAGAGACATTTTAGGAGTTGTTTGGGGGAGAAGTGGTTTTGGGGAGACGAGGAGAAGGTAGGGCAGAGGGCTTTCCTTATTAGAGAAAATAAATAAGAACTCATAAAAGATGAAAAAGAAAGATTTAACTACAATGAGAGGCCATGAGACACAGAGACAGTGGCATACTTTGCTACACATATAAATTGACTTAATAACTATTATTGATGATTGAAGAGTCCATAATTAAACAATGGGTATGGCACTGGACAAAGTGGAATAGTGGAACAAGATTCATATAGAACGACCCCATACAGTTTGGACTTGGGACAAGGCTTGGTTGAGATAAATAGTATTGGTGCTGAAGTCATTCTTATTTCATAAGGCTGTCAAGTTAAATTATAGTTTTATATGCCACTTAAAGATTGGAAAAAGAAACAAAAGAAGAAATGCAAAGAATATAATCACAAAGTTATTTCTAAACGTTTAAACAAGATGTACATTTGCATTAACCACTGGCAATTCTGTAGCTCCCCAATTTTCCCTTCTTTCTCATAGATGAAAATCACATTAAGTTTGATCAAGTTCAAGTGCAAAAGATAGGTGGTAAGTGTCACCAGCATATGAAGATTCATGGATTCTATTAAATTATGAGTACGCAGCTACACTAATAAACAAGATTCTTTTCTTGGCATAAACATTTCATATTTACGGTACAATATAATTTAATTATTGAGGAACCTGTACCGCCCATGTGGCAGAAATGGAAGAATTCCTTTTTAGTTTAGTTTCTCTTACATGTATGGCCAGCAACAACCAGAGATTTCAACATCAAGGCTCTTTTGCAAACTGAAGTTGAAGAAGCAACTAGAGCATTACAAGATGCTTCTCAAATCCAACACCAAGTCACCAAATTACCTGTGATGTCATCTTCCAGCAAAAATTGATTGTTCTTGTGGGCTAATAATGGAAAGAATCTGCAAAACAAAGTATCAAAGTCTCTAATACCCCTCATCAATCAGCAACTCAAGGGAAATCACATCTAGTTCATCAAATAGATATTATTTACCCACAAGAAATCGCATTATTAGCAAGTGAAGCCTATACCTTGTCAGTGAATTTGCGGAAGTCCTCCCTTTCCATGGCTTTATCAAGTTCCTGATGAAATATATGAATAGATTATACACAGTTTGAATGTTCATTTGTTTTCTTATTTTTCTAGTTCAAGAACGATTTAAGCTTCTTTAAAATATTTTAAGAATCAAAACAAAATAGAAATTAGAAAGATAAGCAAAAAGAAAAAAAAAAAGATGAAGGATGAGAGAGCAAAGAGAAAATTTGAGAAGGGGAAAATGTGTATCACACACACACACACATATATATATATATATATATATAGAGAGAGAGAGAGAGAGATGACACATTGCAAATTATTAAACAGAAACAGTAAAATAACAAAAGACAAAACCAAGACTGTCATTTCTCCCCAAGCTAGCACAAGCCAACTTGCTTGGAAAGCTTCTTTTTTTTTTCTTTTTTTGAAAAGGTAAGGTAAATTCATTGATAACTGAAAGAAGGTACAACAGGAGCCAGCCCAAAAAAGGACTGGCCATTACTCAACAAACTGTTGCAGACACTAGATCGACTGAGTTCTCAGACATTGAAATACATTCAAATGATTGAAGGCAGGAGTGACAGCAATCCAGGAAGCTAATTTGCTGACAGCACACTGCACAATCTCTTCTGGGTTCTTTTTGTTGCAGAAAACTCTGTTGTTTCTCTAGTCCAAGTGGACCAAAGAACAGCTGCAGGGATTGTCTTCCAGATTACTTTTCCTCTTTCCTTCAAACCACTGATTTTCCAACAGCTTAACAATTTTTTGACAGTTTGGCATGACCCATTTGATCCCCGCAGCATTGATGAAATGAGTCCACAGACTCAGTTTTCAAGGCGCCAAGGCGAGGCTGGGTGTCAGGGGGGCGCCTTGTCGCTTAGTCACCTAGGTGATGGATTTTTTTATATAGAAAACATAGATCCTAGTGTAGTTCCCTAGGTACTATAGCCATATATCCTTAATAATTATTCATAATTTTCATAAAAAGTATAGAGTTCATGTTAAAGTATAGAAAATCAACATATTCATGAGAAGGAAAAAAGGAAAAGAAAATTCAAAAAATATAGGGGCTGAATCCTTATTTTGTAATAGGAATAGAAGAAAAGAAAAAGTAGTAGTAGTAGTAGTAGTAGTAGTAGTAGTAGTAGTAGTAGTAGTAGAAGTAGAAAATGTGTTGATTAGACAAAATTTTAAGTTCTTCCTTGCTTATTGGTTCAGGTTTTAAAGTCTTTGAGGGTTCAATACAGCATATAGCAATATTTGTATTGATTAAATCCTAGCAAAGAAGAAAATAATAAAAACAAATTAGTATATAAACACACAAAATGAATATTTTAGTTTAATAGTGCCTATTTTATAATTATAATGTCAAAAAATAAAGAAAAAAAAGTATTTTACGACAGTGCAAAACTGCTTGGCGATTAGGCGAGGCGAGCCTCAAAGGGCACCTTGTCGCCTAGGCGCCCGCCTAGGTGTCACCTTGACAACTATGCAATCTCCACACCTGGGCCGCAACAGGACAATGCAGGCACAGATGATCAGTAGATTCTGGCTGCAGTCCACACAGACCACAGAAGACATCTGGGAGCTGAATTCCTCTCCTCTCCAGGTTAACTTTAGATAGACATTTATTGAGGGCCATAGTCCATACTAGGAAGTTAACTTTAGAAGGACTGACAGAGTTATCTGCTTATTTGGGAAGTTCACAGCATCTGAACTACTTAGCTTAAGAGCCAGTGATTTAACTGAGAAGCAACCATCCTTACTCCACTTCCAAATCCACCCATCTTCCAAATTGATGTCAATACTCTGATTTTGAAGAGTTGCCAGCAGACCCACAACCTCATCCATCTCCCAATCAAACAGGTTCCTTCTGAACTGAGGAACCCAAGTCACCCCATTATCTGAGGAGGAATAACAATCAGCAATCAGGGCATCTTGATTTGCAGCACACTGATATAAGAAAGGGAAAGCAACAGCCAGGGGGTTCTCCATGCACCAGGGGTCCTTCCAGAAACAGATTCTGTCACCTCTTCCAACTTTGAGGCTTAGGCCTTCCACAAACAAGGGGACAAATTTCAAACCTTTCCAAATGGAACAGCCCTAGTTTGGAAAGGGAACCAGATAACTCCAACTGTCCCTAGTCACCCCGAATTTAGCTGCAATAAGATTCCTCCACCAACACCAAGCACTTCTTTCATGAGCAAATCTCCATAACTATTTAGTAAGGAGAGCCGGGTTGAAAACCTTAATTTTCCTAAACCCCAAATCACCTTCCTCCATAGGGAGAAGATTTAATCCCAGCTAACAAGATGAATCTTTTTTTCTTCCTCCCAGACCTTCCAATATCCCTTTTGCAAAGTTTCCAGCTTCTTGGCCACCTTTGTTGGGATTGGAAAAAGAGATAAGAAATAAGTGGGAAGATTGGCAAGAGTGCTTTTCAAAAGAGTAACTCTCCCCCCAAATGAGAGGTATTTAGCTTTCCAGGATGAGAGCTTGTTTTCCAATCCTTCTATAACTGGATCCCAAATGGCAGGAGAGGTGCATTTTGCACCTAGAGGAAGACCTGGATAAGTAACAGGAAGAGAAACCACCTGCCAAGCCAAAATTCTTGCCTGGAAAGCAACACTTTAATAATCTAATAACAAAAAAAAAAACAAGTTAGCCCTAAACATAAAAGAAATCCTCCATAATCAAGACTTGTAGCATTTCAAGAATTTCACAATGAATCTTAGTGCTGGAAACAGAAGTTAGCAACATGCATCACCAAGGATCTTCAACCAAAATAAATAAGCTCACAAACAAGAAATCACTCCCATTGTCATATAATTGTCAGACCTGATGTTCCTCCAACCATCAATTGGACCTTTGAACTCTTCCAGTAGAATATGAACAAGACTGATTTGTAACCACTCCAAAGGAATCCATATCAAGATTTGATGATCATATAACCAAAAACAGATCAACTCAACTCCAAGGGCCATTTTCTAGAAGATAAATACAACTCAATACACAAAGTACAAGAAATCACCCCTTTAGAGAGTAGTAGAATTGGAGAAATAAGGGGCACTCTTACACTTAAGGCCCTGGGAACCTCAAGAATCCAAATTGTTCACTCCAGAATGATCCAAGTACACTCTATGCACCACAGAAGATTCCACCCAATAAAACATTATATGGTTCTTGACTTTTAGGCAAAATTACAAGACTCTTCTCTTAAGATTGACCATTTTAAATTATTTTTCAAAAAACAATCTAAAACCAGGATATTCAAGAATGAATAATATTTCCACCAATTTTTATTCAACAGATTAGGAAATCACTCCCAAAATATTGCATGGATAAGCCCTATTATGAGTTGATGCTATAATAGAGAGGGACGAGAGGTGGGAACTTGCTCTCAACTTCACAAAAAACCTCTTTGCAACTTCCTATCTCTGCCAAAATATGTAAGTGACCAAACAATGTCAAATGACAACCCAGAAAACAATCTCTAGTCACCACGACCAAAATTGAAGCAGATCTCCAATTTTCTTGGACTTTTGACCAAATCTCTAGGACACCATCCTGGGCATCAATAAACTCTCCAACATTCTTCTAAAAAATCAACCAATTTAAGGATAAGACATGATTATTATTTTAAGAAAATGAATTGCTATTTATAATAATATATGAACTTACCATTTATGGTAATTCCCACAATTAGTATTTATATTAGAATTTGTGACTTACAATTTATAGTAAAAGACCAGATCTGATAATAGGAATCCCAAAAGACGGTAGAGATTTAGAATAGGGAGATCAAACTAACAGGACTAATAAGGGGGATTCAAAGATACCAAAGAACTAAACAAGAACTGAATGAAAACTGTCCAAGAATAATGCAAAAAGGAATAACAAACAGTCAAACACTAAAAGAACCTAACAGTTCAGATCAAACCATAATCAATTTTAGATCTAATCATTATCAACATCTACATCATCATTACTGTCTTCTCCATGTTGCTTTGATACCATCTTGTTTTTCTAGTTCAAGAATGATCTATACTTAAAATATTTTAAGAATCAAAACAGAGAAACTAGAAAGATTAGATCAAGGAAGAGAGTAGAGAAAAAGATTGAGAAGAGGAAAACTGATATGGACATGAACTTTCTTTCATATATATATATATATATATAKAKAGAGAGAGAGAGAGAGAGAGAGAGATCCCATTACACAAGGACTTTAGAGTGAGTGACATAAATAACCCTGTTGTCATCTATATCTATATTGGAAAGAGGAAAGAAAGTAAGGAAGCCAAGGGCCCTCTGACCACAGAGCTCACATGAACCTCCTACTCTCACTTCTCACACATGTGATTGTCTATTTTTAAATTAAATTATTAAAAATATAAGAAATCACAATAAAAACTCTCTTAGGTTCTAATTTTCTCTAATAAAATTCATCATTACTCTCTCTAATAAAATCATTCTTAAAACTCTACCCTCCCCCCAATTCTTAAAACTCTCCCCAATAGTCAATAATTCAATGTTGTAGCATCTCCCCTCCCCCCATTAAAATTCTTATTTCCTCTTTAAATCTCTATGACCCCCTTGGCCCTCCTTAATAAAACAGGAGTGTGGATTAGGTGGTTTGGATCAAGGCAAGGACCAATCCTAAACATTTTTTTTTTTTTTATCAATAAAACTTTCATTAATTCATCAGTAGAAAATTTACGTGGAAGACAAACACACTTATCTTCCAAGAGTCACAAAGAGCTTCAAAAAAGGAAAAAAGAAAAAGACACTAACGTTACAGCTTAGCCCAAAACAATGAATCCCTTTTTGCCCCTTGTTTAGCTAAACCGTCAGCAAGGGAATTAGCCGATCTTTTAATCCAACATGTCTTAACTTCCATCTCCCGCACCAACCACTTGAATTTCCTCCTCTCATTATTGTACTTCCATAAATCGTTTTGATCTTTAATCAGCCACCCTATCACCACCTTTGAATCCCCTTCAATTATGAGTTTCTAGATGTTCAATTCCTTGGCTTTCCGGACTCCTTCCATAACTGCAAAGATCTCAGCTCTAAGGGAGTCACCCACTCCAATTGGGCCTAAGAACATAGCAGAGATGACCCCATTTTCATCCCTAAAAACACCCCCTATCCCCGATTGTCCCGGGTTTCCCCTACTACACCCATCAAAGTTTAATTTCAAGAATCCACTAGGTGGGGGGGTCCAAGCCACACTCATTACTGACTTGGTCTGTGTGCAATTTGCAATTTCACCCCACTTCCTCAACATGTCATCCACAGTGTAATCTGTGAATAGTTCCAAAGATTTCAGCCACTGTACCGCCCTAATATGTATGATAGCCCTCAGATCTGCTGCTCCTCTCTAAGTTTCTGAGAATATCCTAGAGTTTCTTTCTTCCCATAGTGTCCAACATACTGCAACCCTTAGTCCACTCCACATTGTCCTTCCCCTTTTTATCCGCCACCTGAAAAAGAAAGGGGAGAAAAGGCCCTGCAAGTCTGATGGGGGACTCCAGCTGCATCCAAATAAGGAGAAAGCCCAATCCCAAATTGACCTCGTGAAGTGGCAAGACACCAATAGGTGAAAACCAGTCTCCCCATCCGCTTTACATAGAACACACCACTGAGGTGACAAGCAAGTATTGGGTCTCTTCTTTTGGAGTAGATCACCAGTGTTGATTCTTTCCAGATAGGCTTCCCAACAAAAACTACCAACCCTAGGGGGTATAGCTCTACACCAAACTCACCAACAGGGAAAGAGGGAAGGGTAGGACTGGTGGACTGACTTAAGACACCAATCCTAAACATTGACCTTGTGTTGGATCAAAACTGATGTCAAAACCCACATTTACCAACCCAAACCTAACCAAATTTCTATTCAACCCCATGCATTTTATGGGTTTGCTTGCTAGTATTCAATAAACAAAACAGAAAAAAAATATAATAATAAAAAAACCAAGACTGTCAATAGTTCTACATTTGTTTAAGGCAAAATCTATGGTGCATGAACTGCACCATGAAGCAAAAAACTTGAACCAATGATAAGGTGACACGTCACAGTTGAATGTTTGTCATTGTTAAGGTCTTTAATGGTAAGTACATGTACACCTTGTGGAACATGAAAGTACACTTTGTGAAACATGAACCCAATGAAAAGTAGATAGACCATGTGACGTCTTTAACGTGATTGATTGAAATTTCGATTTAACGTGCAACAAATATTCAAAATGCACTGTATTTGGGCCTTTATTTAAAAGGTTATTTATTCTATAAGGAAATTTGGAATTGACAAGATGAAGTAAAGAAAATTGGCTCCACAAATTTGATTGAAGTTGTATTATTACATTCTCTGCATCTGTAGAACAATCAATCTGGTATATGAGTTTCTGAAGTTCTTCATTCTTCAAGGCATCGCGAATTTCAGTGGAATCCACTGTACAGAGACAAAAAAGGCAAGTTAAAAACTTCAACAAAACTTTATTAGATCAAGAGTAGATATTCAGGAAGAAAGTAGGAGAGTAACTGAACAAAAACATTCAGCTTGTGTATTCATATATCATTGACAAGAACTAAATTGGAATGCTTACCTTTTTCTTTAAACCAGCGATGGATGTCAGAGAAGCTAAGTACTATATGAATGAAAATCAAATGTAAGTTAAATAACAAGCAATGGCCCTAAGGCTAGTTAAAGGACTGCACCTATGGCCTCTAGTTGAACCTTCTGAAGCACCTGACTCGGGTCATCCACTTGATATGATCTTTTTGGATATAATATTGGACCTGTCATCACATAAATGAAAGACATGTAGCAGAATAGATCAAAACAGTTGCAATAAAGAAAAGCATGATTCAAGTAAAATGAATTTTCACATGATAAGTAAACTAGTAGACTTAACTAACTATTTGTGTCTCTTGTTCTCTGGTAGCCTTATATGGCTGTTTGCCTTCCCAATTTATGATTGTGGGATTGGAAATATACTCTAGTTTTAATAAACTTTCCTGGTAGCCTTATATGGAAGTTCAGCAGTACGTTTCTCTTTGATAGTAATATAGCAATACATGGTACATCAAGGCTCCTTATCAAAGCATGTGACCACACAATATTGCAATTAATGGACTTTGGTTCTGAGAATAAGGTTCAATTTTGGATATGTGAGAATCACCAGAATTACTTCTTGTAAATTTAGAACCATAGTTGTCAAGGCGCCTAGGCAACACCTAGAAAATAAGAATTTCATACAAAAAAAAACACTATGTTTTCCCTAGTTCTCTAGTTTTATAAAAGCTTAAAACAAAATATGTATATATATAGGATGTAGAAATATTCATCAAAATATATATATATATATATAGGATGTAGTAACATACTATTAGTAAGATGCAGCAATATAAATGATATTGCAATATAACAGCAGTGGAATAAGTCACGAGTTTTCTCAGTCAGATCCTTTTACAACTTTCTAGTGGGAGAGAATGAAGCCCCTTTTCCTAGCCAGGCCATTTTGGGGACTGTCTCACTCAAAAGTAAAGCTTTTTGTTTGGGTGGCAGCTTTGGAGAGGTGCTGTCCGAAGAGATGTTACTGAAAAAAGGCTTTAATTGTTCAGATTTAGTTTGCCACCTATGCAATGTGGAGGTGGAGTCCTTTAGGCATCATTTCTTACATAGCAAGTTTAGCACAGCAGTGAGGAATCATTTTTTGAAGGCCCTGAATCTAAGTTGGTGCATGCCAGTCTCAGTGAAAGCTTTGTTGGAGGAATGGCAAATACCTCGGTTGACTAAGAAAGGGAAAATTTGCCGGTCCTCCATCCCTATGGAAGTACTGTGGGCTGTTTGGTTAGAAAGGAATGACAGGACTTTTTAGCACAAAGCTTCTACCGAAGCAAAGGTCATCAATTCAGCTGCAGGGGCTATTAGGAGTTGGTTGTCTATACATACTGATTTTAAAGGTGATACTTTTGATTGTACTTTTTTGAGGTCCTTCTGGTTAGTTTTATGTACAGCTTCTCATTGTACACAGGTCCTTTTTCTTTAATACAATTATACTTTACCTTCTCTCAAAAAAAAATATTGTAATAAGGCACCCGCCTTGTCATGTTAGTCACCTAGGTAGGCGCCTAGCTTCTATAAACAAAGTGTTTAGGCAAGGCACCCTTTGCTGGGCACCTACTTGCTCAGGCAACGCCTTGACAACTATATTCAGAACAACCCTTAAATACACATCCTGAAGAGAAGAATTTTTCCAAACACTGGTTAAATCTGCTAGTCTGACTGCTGATTCTATGCTTATTAGCCCAGGTTGTTTGTTGACAAGTCATTCCCATTGGCAGGGAAATCTCTTAGGATATTAATCACATTACATCCTGGGTTTAGCATAGGAAGCACCGTAAGAGAAAGTGCTTCTCCAACAGAACTCACTTCCACATGGAGCTAAAAACCATAAAAAAATGTCATCGAAGTTGAAAACAATGTTGTCAAACTATATATCAGACTGGATGATCAGATCACCTGGACTGGCAACCAGCAGCTGAAATAGTTTTGCATATACAAAGTTAGCCAAATACATGTATTAGTAGGTGTTAGCTTATAATATCTGTTGTTTTAAGCTTATTTTGATACAAAATAGCCTAAAGACAATCTGGAACCATTTAGTATTTTTCTAATTTCTTTTTATTTTTCACACAACCCAATGACTAAAACAGTTTCAGACCTGTTCTTTTAAGGGTAATAACAAAACATTATTTAAGATTTTTAATACAAAATTTTTCACTCTCATTGTTTTCTGGATGGATAACAAAGTAACTTGTAGTATCATTGAGAAAAATAGAAATTTATAAAAGAGAGGATTGTACACACTCCAAAAAATAACTATACAGAATAAGATACCAAATGAATCACTTTAAGAAGGGAATAAATGTCTGCACAAATGGAGTCACCATGTGCCATGGGACCTGACTAGAACTGTACTATCTCCCCACCACGGCTTCTAAAGGCTCCACCAACTTGTGAAGACCCTGGTTTTTCCAATGAGCATCCATCAAAATTAAGTTTAATCACTCCTTGGAAAGGAGTAGACTAGAGCTTTGATGTGGACAGAAAAACAAATTACATGCAGCCATAGTTGTCAAGGCGACGCCTAGGCAGTTTTTGAAGGTCACCTCGCCCAAACGCCATATGTTTTGCGCACTAGGCGCCTGCCAGAGACTTAGGCGGACACCTAGGCACCTGGGCGGGCGCCTAATGTATCTAAAATAATTATTTTTTTTTAATTTATTAGTTTGATATTTCATTGGTTGTTGTATTCCTTTAAAAAAAACCTGTTACACTGTATCAGTTTAGTATTAAGACAACTATAGAATAGTGTATACAACTAAACGAAGACGAGGGTATACAACTAAACTAAGAGAAGGGTTTTGGTTCGACTGGAGAGGGAGGCGAACTCTGCAAGCTCGAGCAGCCCAGCTCCATCGCAGTCACACTTGCACCTTAGTTCGAGCAGGTACTTCTTCTTCTTCTTCTTCTTCTTCTTCTTCTTCTTCTTCTTCTTCTTCAGATTTCAGAGTTTCAGCATTTTTTACTTTTCTTTTTTTGAAAAACAGAGGCTCCGCCAGTCCTCCCTTTCTTCTTCTTCTTCTTCTTCTTCTTCTTCTTCTTCTTCTTCAGTCGAAAACTACCACAAACTTCCCCATAAGTGGTCATAGAACTTAGTTCATAAACCTCATAAAGGTGCTAGGAGCATTAGACAACCCAAATGGCATAACTAGACATTCATAAAGACCTTCCTTAGTCTTAAATGCAGTCTTCCACTCATCCCCCTCTCAGATATGGATTTGATGGTACCCACTCTTCACATCTATCTTTGAAAAGATTTGTGAGGCAGCCAATGTGTTTAACATGTCATCAAGGCGGGGTATGGGAAACCTGTATTTAACTGTAATCTTATTAATGGCACGACTGTCAACACACATACGCCAACTACCATCTTTCTTTGGTGTGAGCAAAGCTGGTACAGCACATGGGCTTAAGCTCTCACAGATCAGCCCCTTCTTCAACAACTCTGTACTTGTCTTTAGATCTCCTCATGCTCCTTAGGACTCATTCTATAGTGGGGTAAGTTAGGCAATGCTGCTCCTGGCACTAAATTTATATGACGTTGTACATCTCTTAGAGGATGAAGGCCATTGGGTAATTCCTCGGGCATCACATCAGCATACTCATGAAGTAGCTTCTTCACCATCTCTAGAATAGGTGTTTCTTTTCTAGCTTCTTTTGCAACCAGCACGTAAACAATATCCAAATTTCCTTCTTCTTGGGCCAATTTGTTTGAGGTGAAGAGAGTAGTGGTTGGCTTGGTTTCCTTCTTTGGAAATGAATCAATTTGCATTGGTTTAAGAATTATCTTCTTCTTATTGTCTTTCACAAAGTTGTATGTGCTCTTGTTCCCATGATGAATGGTCTTACAATCATATTGCCATTGGGCGTCCCATAAGAATATGGCATGCATCCATTGAGACAACATCACACCATAGTGATTCTTCAAATGTATTACCAATAAAGAAATTAACTAAGCATTTAGAAGAAACTCTTACCTCATTTCCTTTGTCGAACCACAAAATACGATATGGTCGGGGGTGTTGAACAGTTTTGAGTTGTAATTTATCCACTAAATTTTGAAAAACAAGATTCTCACTATTCCTACTATCAATAATCAAGTTACACAACTTCCTACCAGTTATACAACGTGTTCTAAAGATATTCCTTCTCAACCAATCCCCCGGTAGTGGTTCTTTAGGTGCAACCATGGAGTGTCATATCACTAGAGCTTCAACCTCAATGTCCCCATCCAAGTTTTCTTCCTCTAAAGCATTAGCTTCAGCAGTTTCAACAACTTGTCTATCATGAACATGGCCTATATCATCTTGTTGTTCATCAATGACTTCATCAACCAGATGTGTTTGCCCTTCAATCCTTCTGTTAGGGCATTCACTGGAACAATGTCCCAACTCCATACACCTGAAACATCTAACAATGGGCTGCCCTTGATTGCTCTTGGTTGCATTTGGAGTCCCCTGGACTATAGGCCGTGTTTGGTTGATCACACGACCCTTACCAACCCCAACACTTTGGCCTACTGATGAAGATGTACCTTGGACGGCACTTAGTTTTCGCCCCGAGCTCCAACTCAATTGAGCTTCAACCTTCAAAGCTAGCTGATATGCATCCTTTACTTTATATGAGCAATGTAGGCTAACCTAGTCCTGTATTGGCAACCTCAAACCATTGATATATCTACTAACCTTTTATTGTTCAGTTTCTGTCATATTACTCTGAAGAGTTAATAAACTCTTTTATGTACTCCTTTACACTCTTTTCCCGTTGCCTTAAATTCTGCACCCTTTGGTAAAGAATTTGTTCATAATCTGGTGGTAAGAATTGGGATTTCATCTTCCTTTCATTCTTCCCTAGGAATTAACCTTTCGTTTCCCCTTCCTTTCTTTGCCCCTTTGGTAATTTTCCCACCAATCCAAGGCTGCCCCACGCATCTTTGTTGTTACAAGCTTCACTTTTCTTTCTTCATTCATTTCTTTCCAATCAAAATAATTTTCAATGTTGTCCAACCAATCTAGAAACTCTTCATGTTCCAACGCACCATCAAACTCGTTAATATGAAGTTGAACACCTTGATAGGATTGTAGAATTGTAAAGCTTGCACTATTCGGTCTTCCCACCATTGGTTGTTATCCCTTTCATGTTGATAACCTTCAAGTTGCCCAATGTCTTCAATTGATTCTTCACTAATAATGCCAATGGGTTGTTTATCAACTCTAGGAGCTTGTCTTCTGCTTCCTAGCCCCACATCACTTCCTACGTCACTATCCCTAGCAGCATTTTGAGCTACAAGTTGAGCAAGATGTTCAATCTGTCCTTACAGCCCTCTTATAGTCTCTTATAAAACCTCTACGGTGACATGTTGTGGTTTTCTACCACCCCTACCACGTCCACCCCTTGCAGTCATGATAATATAGCAAAACACAACAAGGAGATGAACTTTGAAGCAAACCCAAGGAAAGAACTTGCTCTAATACCACTTGATGTGGACAGAAAAACAAATTACATGGCAACACTTCAATGATACAGCAATAAGCACAAGAAATACCAAAGCTGAAAACACAAAACAAGTTGGAATTTTAGGGATTTCAGACCTGAACCTGAAGTAAAACTCCTCCCGGAACAGTTCTGATACAGTAACAATGGCAGCAAGTTGGCCTCCCGCATGGACACGCAGCGATATAGGGGTTGGAAGGTGCCAAAATTGGTTGACTCCTCAAAACTCAAGCTCCTAATACTTGAAAACCCTAGCTAGGGCTGAGCTACAGCTCAAACAAGAGAGAAAGAACCCAAAAAAAAGGCCTCTATAGAAACAGCCCCCTTCTTTTTTACAAGACCCACTAGCTTGCTGACAAGCCAGTTAAAATATTTACACATAAGCCTCTAGAATGTTTCCCTCTCACAAGCAACTCCTTGAGAACAAAACTAACTTCAAATGAACCCCCAAAATATAACTTTTGTTACAAAAAGACCCAAGAGACCAAAACCCAACAGATATGCACCCAATTGCCCCCGACCATAATCTGACTTATAAAATGATGAAAATACCCCTGGTCCCAAACTGACAACAAAGCTACCCAAAAACAACAATTTGGGATCCTACTACAAAAAACATGTAAAACTGAATACATTCACATTTTTTTTCATTTTTTTTCTTCTTTTTTTTTTTTGCCTCATCAAGCTTACAAGTATCAACTCTAAATACGAGTGATGAATTCATTTTCCCAATTATAAATCATCTTCAATATAGGGTGGAACTAATCAAATGCACAAACAATAAATATTATAAGTTCTCTTGGGTGAGAAGAGAAGGGGGGGAGTTGCAAAGTGGTAAAGCAAGGAGTGAACAGAAAAAGACAACAAATTTTTTTGGGGGGTGGATTGTAAATAAAAAGCTATTTGGTTAGATGACCTATAAGATATAGACTGTAATAAATACCATGATGTACAATAAAGAGAGAGAGAGAGGGGGGGGGAGGGGATGACACAGTAACTGCAACTCTATCTACAATATTCTTTTTCTTTTGACAAGTCTCTGTATACAATAAATTGAGAAACACCTTCATGTCATAGCACAAATGTAGCAATATAAGTGGATGTGAGCAACTTGAGTTATAGTGTTACCTGGTTTTGCTTCAGATGCCTCAGATGTTACTGCCTTTGAGCATGGAATTTCTTTATATTCAAATAAGCACCATGTCAGTACATTCATCAAAAAAAAAAAAAAAAAGCACCATGTCAGTACAAAGATGCAAACCATTGCAAGGATTTGCTTAATGAGGAAAACAGTAATACATGATACACATAGATGGGTAACTATAGGCTTCTTTTGAATTTGCTAAACTGGTTAATTAGTTAAAGATGACATTAGCATAGCTTCCAATTGAATGAAAACAACCCCACAACAGTGTAGGCCACCACAAATTTCTCGTAGTGCTTTATGCAAGCATAGTTATCAAGTAGGGGTAATCCAGTGTTTTAAAAGCGCAAGGGCCAATTTGCGCCCGAGACGCAAGGCACAAGGCAAGGCGCCAAAAAAATGTCAACAAAATAAAAAAAAATGCAAAAATAAAAATAATAAACATAATATTAAGAAAAATATAAACTTAAATTTTAAAATAAATGTTTTAAAAAACCTATTATCTAAAATTAAAATACATAAACATAACATGTAAAGCGTATTCAAATGAAAATTTAAAAATAAAATCAAACATATAAAACATTTTCAAGCATGTAAAACCCACAATCTCTTTTTTTTACTCAATTGCATTACTTCAAGTAGCTAATGTGATATAAAACATATTACATTCCTGATTCTACTAGCCACCTTTGTGCCACGCCCCTCAATGCAAGCCCAAACAAGTCCATGTTAGATCTATGGTCCCCCAGCCCAGCCACTAGGTTCAAAAGGGGAAAAAAAGCGTGAAATTGTCAAAAGGCGCACACCTGGGCTGTGGCACAAGGTGCATCAGGCACACACCTTTTGAAAGGGCTGCACCTAGGACCTAGGCGAGGCACATACCCTAAAATGCACCTAGGCACGCCTTTTAAATCACTGGGGTAATCATTTCTAGCCAGGCTTGCAATGCATTCATATGGTATATATTTTCATATACATTATATACCATATAATATAAAATGTTATATATCAAATAAATTTACGTTACCTTTCCAAACAAAAATGTTATATATCTATTACTACATAATACCCATACTTATCTTGGCGCAATAAAAGTTGTATCAGAATATTTCAATAGTATCATATAATGTTAATGATTGCAAATGGTGGTTGTCCAAATATTTTAATCTTTAAATCTAATCATTGAGTTAAGACATTTAAATTTTTAAAGTACATCTTTCTACCACACATGGCATGTGTAATGTATATAAAATCATAGGCCCGAAAACCAATCCTGGCCACATGCCTACCCAGGCCTTGGCTTATATTTCGAGCCTGGGGTCTGCACCAGACAAAAGCCCTTAGCAAAGGTGGTAAGCTCAGCCCTACCATGATTTCTTTTTTTTTTTTTGAAGATAAAGTCCATCCCCACGATGATCATCCCTATTATAAAGGAGATGTCTGCGCAACAAGGAATTTTTTACAAGAAAATAGAAAAAATATTAAAAAAATAGATTACAACAAGATCCCATCTGACATCTAACTCAACCAATCAAGAACAACCACTAAAACTACAACACAATTCCAAAATAGAAGAAATAAGAAGTTTACACCAATCAAATAAGATTGGGCTGTTCAGTTTGGAAAAAGATCATGGACATTCTTCCTGTATTCAGCAGAGGATTGAGACCCAGGCTGGGGAAAGGGGATAGGCTGCTTTTTTGGAAGGACCCATGGTGTGGGGAATCTCCTCTTTCAGATCAGTTCCTTCAGCTATTCCAAATTGCAGATCCCTAAGATGCTTTCGTCTCAGAGTGTTATGAGGTTAATGGCAGCTCTGTAATCAGGTGCCCTTCTTTCAGAAGGAACCTTCAAGATTGGGAAATTAAAAACTTAACTGAACTGCTGGAGCTGATTTACATTCAGCCCCTGGATTGGCTTTTGGAGGATAGCTGGGCTTGGAGTTGGAATCCACATGACTAATTTTCTATCAAATATTTTGTTAGGCATCTGTCTAACCACAGTCCAGAAGATTTTCCTGATGCTAAAGTTTGGAATCCTATAGCCCCTTCAAAGGTTAATGCTTTGGTTTGGGCTTTGCATCCTTAGACAGATGTTTAACTAAAACCCATCTGTTAAAAAGARGTGTGCAGATCATTTGTTACGTGTGCTATGTGGGCAAAATCTGGAAGACAGTGGCCACCTGTTTCTCCACTGATCTGTCTCGACAAAGATCTGGAACCATTTCCTTTCAGCACTCGGTGTTAGCTGGGCTATGCCAAGCATTGTGAAGGAGCTGCTGAATTGCTGGAAACTGCAGGGGCTGTCAAAGCTAGCAAGAAGTGTCTGGGGAACCATTCCGGCTGCTGTAATCAGTTCTATATGGACAGAGAGAAACAAAAGAATTTTCCGCTGCACTTCCAAAGACTCGGAAGATCTGATTGCATTTGCTTTTGGAAAGCTTCTAACTTGGGTCTCGGCTGTAAAGGGGTATCAGGCTACCCAACTGGGGGCTAGGCTGTATCCTGGGAATTTCTGGAGTTTGTAATGGATTGGAATCTCTAGTGTCCCGGCCCAAAAGACACTTTTGAGGGGACTTTCTTGTATCATTATTCCTGATTCAATAAAACTTTACCTTACCTTTAGTCGAAAAAAAATCATGACACAAGTAACTAATCCATGATTGACAATACAATATCAGTCACAATTCTTCTGGTACTTCTACATATGTCTTCAAATAAGGCATCTTCTAGGGAATGCCTCATATCATGCCTTTATTGCATAAATCTTCCACACCCTCTTAGGCAAGGATTATGCAGGTGCCTTGTGTACTACACCGTACTTGTATTGTACTCTAATAATATGTATGTTGCTCATTACTTATTTGCTCTGATTTTTACTACAATACCAGAGTACTTGTTCATAATCATTGTGCTGTTATTTTGCTTATGTTTTCGAATTCTTGTCATATGAAAATTCATGATTCTAACTTGTTATTTTGCTAAATGACATTGATTATATTGTATTACAGAATATGAAATTTACAATTAATAGTGATCTTTCCTTGTGACACTTGGTGCTGTAGAAATGAAGTTAAGAAATTTAAATGGTTGACAAGGATGAGCATTCATTGGGTTGGGAGGTCAGCTAATGCAATGGATGGAACATTAGCTAAGCGAGGAGTTTCAAGGGAACAATTATTTTGGGCTTAGTTGTAATTTGCACCTTCTTTTTTTATTTTGGAAGAGTTCACATTTTGCGCCTCTTTCTAGGGAATGCTTGTACTGTATGCAACTACTTAGCTATATAACTTATATTAATAAAGTTTATTACTTATCAAAAAATGCCTTATTGAAGGCAGTACAATCAACATAAAGCTTCTAAGAGTATCCAATATTTCTGATATTGGATATATATATCATCACATAGTTGTCAAGGCAATGCCTAGGCAACAAGGCGCCCTTGGAGGCTCGCCTCGCCCAGTCGCCTAGCAGTTTTGTATAGTGTCTTATAAAATACTTTTACATTGTTACTTTTTTTAGATTATTATTATAAAATAGACATTATTAAACAAAAATATTCATTTTTTGTGTTTATAAACTAATTTCTTTTTATTATTTTCTTATTTGTAAGGGCTTAATCAACACAAACATTGCTAACTGCTGTATTGAACCAAGACTTCAGAATTTGAACCAATAAGTAAGGGAAAAACTTCTTCTTCTTTTCATATAACAAAAATAGGGGTTCAGTCCCCATATTTTTTGAATTTTCTTTTCTTTCTTCTTTTTCTTCTCATAAATATGTTAATTTTCTAGACATAAACATGAAGATTATAATTTTCTTATGAAAATTATGGATAGTTATTAAGGAAAGATGGTTATGAAACCTAGGGAACTACCTAGGATGTGTATTTTTCACTTAAAAAAAATCCATCGCCTAGGCGACTAGGCAACAAGTTGCCCCCCTGTCGCCTAGCCTCACCTTGGCGCCTTGAAAACTATTCAGTACCCAGCCCAGGTGTTCCCCAAATAAGTTGATTCCTGGTTACTCCATTTCTTGCAAGGACATTGAGTATTAGCTGATTGAGGTATCCATCTGAAAACGCAGTTCAAATTGGACACCAATGATAATGGAATCTCTGATCACTTATTGGAGGACCCAAGGACCCTCACTTCTCTTCTCCATCCAACTGAGCACCACACTGCAGTCCCCTTCCACAATTAGATTTGGCCATCCAAAGATTAGACTATTTTCAGATTTTGATGAAGTGCATGAATCTCAGATTCCAAGGAGTTTCCAACCCCAATCAGTCCTATGAAGCTCATAGTTCTTCCTTTGTGATCTCTAACTGCACCCTCTATTCCCCGAGTTAGCAAGGCTGCACCCTCTACTGTAATGAAGGTGGAAATGTAGCATTGATCCTTTTGTCTAGTTCCTTTAAAATGCAGAACTCCTGAATCATCTGAGAGAAATCTCCTTCCAAAAAGCCCCAACCAGCCTTAATGAATTTGAAATTGAACCCATCCGGTCCAGGGGCATTGTCCCCACTAATCTCTTCTAGTGCTTCTCTGATTTCTTCTATCTCTATCTCTCTTTCTAACCAGTTTGCAGATAAGGTGGATAGCTTTTTGGGCTCCAAGCCACCTAAAGACACCCATTTCCACCCTCCTCTCTCTCCCTAAAGAGACCTTTGTAGAATTCCACCACCTTCCTTTGAATCCCTTCCCAGGTTTCCATAAGCTCCTCCCCCACCTTAACCCTCATGATCATATTTCTTCTTCTTCTAGCATTTGCAAACATATGAAAATAAGCTGAATTTTTGCCCCCTCTTTATCCAAATGGCCCTCAACTTCTGCCTCCATCTAATTTCTCCCTTCAGAATTAGTCTTTCCAGTTCCCCCTTCAGGTATTCCCTCTCTAACTTAGCCTCCCTCGTGAAGGCTCCTTCTTCTAGTCTGTCTAGCCTTGCCATCTCCTCTAGTAATTCCTTTTTTCTTTCCTCCTCCCTCCCCACCATCTCTGGCCTCCTACCCTTAATCTTTTCTTTTAACATCTG